AACAATAATTCATGAAAAAACACGGCGTGGGGGTGTTGTGCATAGCAAGAAGAGATACGCGAGCGAGAACTGTGATGTCAAAGGTAGAGAAACTACAAGCAATGCTGCTGGTACGATGTTGATTGCGATTCACGTACGGAACAGATCACTACTTGCTTATCCTGTGAGCAACATTATACCAGCAGCATTGCTTGTAGTTTCTCTACCTTTGACATCCTCGCGTATCTCTTCTTGCTATGCACAACACCCCCACGCCGTGTTTTTTCATGAATTATTGTTCAAACAGGAGACGACACACATGCAAGGATATGTTGTACAGGGATTCTTTACTTTTCCGCCAGATGAAAGTACCTCCATATTTCTTCAGCCGTCCTATTCTGAAGCACAGACTGTGGGGACGGATATAAACTCGGGGCGCCGCAGAGCAGTATGTCCGTCACCAAATAGTCATATACATTTGAATTCCCTTTTTCTTTCTATGAGGTTCTCTGTAGGTGTTCAGCGTTCAACAGGATGTTTTAGGAATTGCTCCATACATTAGGTTATGGCATAGTTCCATGCCATAACGGTGCCTTTCATGTTTGTATAGAAACTGCTTTAGTAAGACTATGGAGCCGCATTTTATTTTTAGTTGCACCACTTTGACTGAGGTGTAGGGTCGGCAAAAACAGTCATAGAAAAGAAGAGAGGTTGTAGATCGACCAAGTGATCGCCAAGGGTTTCTCTTCATCTAAATGCAGTCGATTCTCAAGCTTTCGCAATGGCAGTATTACAACGAGTTGTAGCTAACACTGGAAGAATAGATTCAAAATTCAGAATGAGGCTGATATTGCTCACCTTATTCTTGATTGTCGCTGTCGATGGAGGCATTGTAGACAAAGTAAAAGGAGTGTTCTCTGGCGATGGTAGTTTTGGACAGAAACTGAAGAATGCCACTATTGTTGGATTCAAGAAGGTTCCCATTTCTCTTCTATTGTTAATGCTCTGTACCCTATTCCATCTCGAATTTCTCTTTTTCGTTTCCGATTTCGAGAAATGTGTGACTTAGTCTCTCGATACAATTACAGCTCTTCGAAAATACGGCTCTATTCAAAATTCGCGACAAGATTAGAAGTATGAAGGAGAAAGTGTTGAAGACATTGGAGTTGACACCTCAAATGATGAAATCGCTCCAAGAAAGGTTGAAGGTAACGCTGATAGTTCATTTCTCTTCTACGACGAAATGTCATGAGACTCAGAATGTTTCTCTATACCTCCCACTTGGTTGTGGTGTATTTAGGCGAGATAACCATCTACTGTGCCTGCATATGATAAGGCCAGCTTGCACGTATCGAATTTTACAGAGACTTCGACCCATCAGGAAGGATAAAGTCGCAGAGACCAACGCGCGAGACTCAATCACTGACGTCAACGAATACAGCCAGGTTGGCAAAGATCTCTACCAGAGCGACATGGTGCTAACAGAGTATGTCACTCAATCAATACTTATTCGTATTCGTTGATTTCCCTTTCCACCGCCGCCGTTGAAGGGAGCAAGCCGAGGAGATCGTGCAAGATATAGAAGATGAGGTTGCTGGTGGAAATCGAAAATCAAAACGCCAAGCATTCAAGGACCATAGATATCCAAATATGTTATGGTCAGAAGGAGTGAATTACTACTTCCATAAGCTCGCTAGTATGTGTAAAAATGTAGTACTTCGTGGATAGAGCGCAAAATAGATATGATACAACCATTGAAGGTAGAGAGATGAGAAGTTCATTCGAGAAGGGAGCGAAGCTATGGGAACAGGATACTTGCATCAATTTCACGCGGAACCCATTCGGTGAGAAAACACTAAAATTAATCGAGATGTGATTTCTCATGTTGTGGATCAGGATACGCGGCCTTTTGACGAGTCACAAGCCCCCATAAAAAGTTACTGTTTCAGCCAAAGATCGAATTATGGTATTCCCGGAGGACGGATGTTGGTCATACGTTGGAAAACTCGGTGGTGAGCAGAAACTGTCACTAGGAAGTGGCTGCGAAACAGTATCTATCGCTGCGCATGAGATTGGTCACGCTCTTGGATTTTTCCATACAATGTCCCGACACGATCGTGACGACTTCATCACTGTAAACAAGCACAATATCAAGGTAACCGATTGACAGTGCCGTTCAAGAATTGCAACTGAAGTTCAACAGTCGCTCCAATTTCCGTATTACGGAACGACACACCTCTCCTCGCTAGTCCATTAATATGGAGTGATCACATTATACCTTGATCCACCTGCAAGGCGCACAAGTTGTGTGTAATTTTAGAAGCCTGTCCAAAACATTTACTGGTCCCTCACGCTCTCAAACATTCAAATGCATCAATTCGCGCAGACAACATATGCTCACGGAACCGTTAAGCGAAGCGAATGTACGGACTGTACTGTCATTACTCGCTCCCACAGTATCGCAAAAGCCTTTGACAGAATTTTCGAAAGGCTCGAGCTATATCTTCTTGAGCAGCATAGACAAAATCTTCTTTCCTGAACGGAGGCAGTTGAGGTTCTATGAAAATAACGTATTGTAGTGCAATGGGATCTTAAGCAGATTTCGACAACACTGTAAGCGTCACTTTTTCGGAAATTCGTAAACATCTTTGAGAACATGGTTCATCGTAGCAAAAGGATGTTTGCAGACGGTTCAGCTATCAGACTACAAACGCAGGCAAACTTGCAAGTTAAACGAATAGTCTTTAAAAGTGCAGGGAGACTTGCGTGCATTACAAAAATATGTATCATTTGTCGGTCCTCTAGTTGAGCGAAGTAAAGAAACTATACGAAATAGTCAGAGACGCAGAGGTCATACTTTCAGGTAGACTGGCTAAGTCAATTCAATAAAGAAACAACGAAAACAAACGATAATTACAACATGACGTACGACTAACGCCTGAGCATTATGCACTACGGCGGAACTAGGTATGTTTTTAAACAAAGAATCTAACCAATTTTCCACTCCATGATCATGACACTGCACTGACCTAATCGCTGTAACACAATTTGCGACATTCACTGAGTGATATAAAATGTTGGACAATAGCTGGTTGTTGACCCTACTGTTATTTAGTGCATCGTTCAACAAGCCAACAATGGTTCCGTTTGACATCGATTATCAGCAGACCCTTGGATCTCCATTCATTTCTTTCATCGAACTCTCAATGCTCAATGAGCACTACGGATGCAAAGGTTTGATGGTCATCATTAGAATATCTCTCTGAAGATATACTGTACTCACTTTGAAAAATACTGATCCTTGCCAAAAGCCAGCTAAACTGTGTGCGCAGCAAGCTTGTAGAGAAGAAGACCAGTTTTGGCCACCGTCGAAGTAAGACCGGATTCCTAGAACCAGGCATGCACCTAATTATAGCTTCTGTAGCCGTCGTGGCTAATGTCGTGGAATCCCTAGCTTGTGATCATTTCACTATTTGTTACCCTCACAATCCACTTCAGTACCAACTTTCAGTGCTCCGGTGGTGGGAGACTCTAATACATGGGAGCTGAATGCGGGTTTCATCAACAAATATATGTATAGTAATTGGTGCCGCCCGCTCACTTTCCCTCTGCTTCATCAATACGAACCGATAAGGATCAACAGAAGAAAGCGTTGCTGCTAACATGAACACTTTCACTTTTTCATTCAGGGCACTTTTTGTTACAAAATTCAGCGATCTGTAACAAATCTACATCGGTTAAATGCGAGATGGGCGGATTCCCTCATCCACGAGACTGCCAAAGATGCATATGTCCTGGTGGCTATGGTGGACC